CGAGCTGTTGTTCACCATCTTAGCTGTAGAGGGCAGTGTCACTGGCCCTCATGTGGGATCCGAACCGGGGCCCTGCTGCTCAGAGCTGGCGTCCTAAGCCAGCTGTTAACCAACGTGCCACTTAGCCGTCCCCGGCACTATACTTTTAAGTGTAGATTGATGATAATATTTTTTTCCTAACATCTTAAAAGAGTCTACAGTCAAATGTGAGGGAAAGGTGGGAAAATAAAATATAATAACACATACATTTTACGAAGGATGAACAAACTAGGGCTTTTATTTTTTTTTCTTTGATTTCTTTGTGAAGAGCTTTCATGACCTGGATAATGATCTTTTGTTGAGCACATATTCTGTGTCAGCTGTGGACCAAACACTTTACACATATTTCTGCTTATCCATCCACTCAGCATCACCAAGTTTGCTTGTATTGGCCTTGTTTTCGGCCAGGAAACCAGAGGATTAGCAACAGTCAGTAGCTTACTTGTGTTCACAGAGCTTGTTTTTAGCAAAACCAGGATTTTCCAATTTTGATTCAGGTAGATGCTTGTAGTAGCTCTTAAGGATTAAAAGTGAGGAGTATGAGGAGAAAACCTAAAGGGTAAAGAGGTTTGCTTATAGTTTATGGTAACTACTAACTAGCTCCTGGGACTTCTGCTGCTATTGAAATCATAAAGGCTAGCTATTGAATTCACATAAACCCTCATGCAGGAGCTATCAAAAAGAAAAATTGAATGTCTTAATAATACACATTAGGGAATGGATTCAGATTCCGTTCATTTTTCGACACTGACAAGCTCCGTGCAATGTAGCTAATAGGAACAATTTGAGCTGGGTATTAGAGCTAATCAATAATCAAGTACGTGCCAGACACTTGTTACATGTTACCTTCTCAACAGTGGTAGTGGGTAAGGCTAGGAATTTCAGTTGCAGAAATGCCATGTCTCCTGCCCAAGGTCATACTGATGTTTGTACCCTTTTTATCATTTACTATGTATCACTTAGGCAAGTTACTTAATTTCTTATCACATTTCCTCATCTGTAAAATAAGGATTATAATGACACCAATACCGTGAGTTATAAAGATTAAATGAGAAAACATATAAAGTGCTATTTATTGCACAGGCCTGGCACATTGTAGACTTTCTAAACACCAGGATTTGAAATCATTCCAAAGTCTACAGTCTTTGCATTATGCCGTTGCTTTAGAGAAAATGCTGTCTGTGCTCTATTTCTTGCTAGGTTCTGTCATTTCTCTGCTCCTCCTCCTTTCTGTTAGACTATTTTATCTCATAGAAAAGTACTTTCTTTTTTTTTTTAAAGATTTTTATTGGGTAATTGGGGGATGGGAACAGTGCTGGGGAATTGGCAGAAGGGGAACAGACAAGTTGCTGTTGTTTTGTTCTTCAGTCTAGTTGTGGAGGACGCCGCTTCACTGGCCCAAGTTGGCACCATCATTGCGCTCTTCCCTGGCGAGGCAGATCAGTCGCCGGCTTCTGGACAGCCGCTCACTGCGGCTGCTGG